GATTCAAGCTTCATGACTAGGAGTGAGTGAATCTGCCAGTTTTTTATTCTCCCAATTTCTTAGTTTATCCCGTCTTAAGTTTGGCTCTCCAAATTTCCACATCAGGGTTGTTGTTTTTTTATGGGGGGGAGGGATTTCCACTTCACTAAATTTTGCAATGCAAGCCAATTAATGTATCTAAAAATGCATATACTGGGGTAAAGCGTGCATAGAAATGCATATGCTGGTATAATTAACATACAAAAATGCATTAGATTGGGGTGTGTGGAATTGTTTTGCAAAAAGATTATCTATTGTTGTGGGGGGGGGAGGGAAAGGAGATTGTTAGCCACTTTGAGACTCCTTAGGGTAGTGATAAAGCGGGATATCAAATCCATACTCTTCTTCTCTTCTTCTCCTTAGGCAATATTGCATACAAACATGTAAGGAGAAATTTGGACTAAAATTCTGATGAATTTTTAATCAGCTATTATCATCATCATCATTGCAAACTGGTGTGAGAATTTAGAGAACTGACAATAAGACTGGAAAAATTAGAATCGGAGAGAAACCAAAACTTACAGGGTTTCCCACCCCTACTTATACTTCCAGCATCTTGCACACTTCTGGTCTGCTCTCCCCCCAGTTATTATTTCATGGGAAAAAGAGCCTTTCTTGGTTTCTCCCTCACTTGGCAACTCTCTGCTATGCGGCAGATTCATTTGCTTTCATCATTACTGTAGGAAACCTCACAGGAGAAATGAACAAAACCCAGTCGGCTGATGGTCTAGTTCAGTAGGCAGCAGTAAATGCAAACAATATCTCACATAGTTAGCCGTAAACGAGCCTTGTGGTTTCAAAGCTAAATTGCACTTCTGTGGAACAGGCACTCTGAAAAGCAAATCATCAGATGGGAGAGTGGAGGGGTTAGAGACATGTCTAGCAAATTTGATCTGGGGCAGTATGGAAGAAAAGATGGCTGAATACTGGCTGCATTTACAATGGGAAATTTTGATTCGAAATTTAATTTCATGTTTTTCAGGGGTAATCCTAGAATCAAGGTAGAAACAGACATTGGAGAGGAAGCAGGACTATTCTGATATACCATGGTGGTTTTATCCAATGTAGTGCTAAGCTTCTTAATGGTACACTTCCACTGGTGAAATGTTTTGTGCCAGTGGAACGTTGTGCATGAGAATGCATAAACAGCTTGCAGGCAACTTTGTTGCATGGTAAACTGTGCAATCTGTTGTGCAGCACGTTCACACTAGTGCAGCTGCTTCATTCCTCTGCTGCACAGCAGTAAAATTCACCTATCTGCTAGCATAAGAGCCTTCGCTCCAGGGCACAGAGAATATTGGGTACAGCCCTAAGAGTTGTACGTGCTTGAAAATGTGCACCCTAATTATCATATAATGTTAACAAATAGGGTGGCAGCAACTTGTCACCAAAAAAAAAAAAAGGAGGACCAGGCAAGAGGATCAAAAAAGGACATAAATTTGCATTAAAACTCCATGTTGATTTATATGTATAAGTGCAGATTTAGAAATAATTACTGTAATTTAAATAGAAATACAATAATCTCACCTTAGTGCAAAAAAAGCAGCGTGCAGGCAATCTGTGTCCACTCTGCTTTCTAGGTGCCTTCTGTGGATTGGCGACTTCAAGGCTCTTGTTGCTGCTCCCATCTTCCTTGTGGTAACTGGACTTGAACTAGCCAGCTAAGAATTGTGCCAAAACATTTGTGAAGTGTGAAAGCAGGTGGATAACTAACTTCTAGTCCAGGAGGTGCACAGCAGGTCAGCTGTTGCTAGATCCCCCAAATTTCAGATCCTTCAAGCATCCCTTCTCCTCACCCCAAACCCAAAGGAGGCCCTCTGAAGATGTTCTTATGGCACTAGAAGGCTCATACAGAGAAAGTTGAAGAGCCTTAAAGGTCAATGCCAGTCCTTTGAACTGCACCTGGGAAGGGATCAAGTAAATGTATTTTCAGGATTGGGGTCCAAGACAGGTATGCTGACCAGCTGCTGAGTACATACTGCTTCCTCCCAAAGGATCTTGGGAACTGTAGTTTACCCTTCACCGAGCTGTAATTCCCATCACCCTTAAACTACAGGTTTCTTTGAGGGAGGTCACGTGCTTTAAATGTGTGGTGTGTATGTACCCAAAGTCACTGGACATAAAGGTATAAAATCTGTAACAGGATTGCAGCGTTTATTGTGCTGTTGATTCTTGTCTTATTTTTGTCTAAGGCACTTAGCTGTAGCTTTATGTGTGTTGCTTCCTTAGCCTTTGTGTAGTGTGAGCAGCACTTCCTGAGCAACTTTGGAAAATGCAGCAAGTATAAGGAATTTTAACTCTTGACTGAGAAAGTTATGAGAGGGTGCCAAAACGCTGGCCGAAAGTATTTGGGCTGCAACCGCAAAAGGGGTTCAGGCCTGAAACAAAATCTCTTCTTAATTTCAAGAGGTCTTCTCCGAATAGGGCTAAGCTTCTTTCTCAGCAACATTTATACTACCTGCCATTTAAATCACTTGTCCTTTTAAATAATTCGTTGGCTTCTTTTTCTTTAAAAGAAAAAAACCCACAGAAACAGATTTTAGAGTTGAAGACAGTAATTGCTTAAGTTAACTTGTTTGGCAACCCTGTTAGAGTTGATCGCTTCTCTGATGGCTTTTTTTGATAGACACTTTTATTTTCCATAAAAATAGCAAGCTCCAAAAGAAGAAGAAGTCTGGTTTACATTATACTGAGAAGAAAACCTGAGGTGTGGACAGAAAAGTGCTAAGCTTCTGACTTAGATGCTAAACTTCCTCTCTCAAGGATCATGGAGAAATTGCCCCAAAAGCAATTTTGCAAAATGACCTGTAAAAAAAAGAGTGTTCAAGCCTGCCCTAATAATTAGGTTTCATGGAGCGGGAACAGAGCTCAGGGTTGCTAGAGCGCATGTTTGCAGCTAGGGGGTCCCAGGTTCAGCCACAGTTAAAAGGGACCACGGCAGCAGGGAATGCAAAAGTCCTCAGCCTAAGAGATTCTGTAGCTCAGAGCAGCTGATCTAGATGAAGAAGTATACTGACTCAGCCTCAGGCAGTTTCCTATGTACCTCTACAAAATATCCCTGTTCCTTAGCCAGTGGATATATGCAGTGTTGGCTGGTTTTGCTCTCCCGTCTTCTGAATGCCACAAGACAGTCACTTACCAAGAAAGGAAGGGGCAGTACAGACACAGCGGCAGGAGCATCAGATTGGTCCCTGCTCCAAGTCCCCACATGTCTCCCCCTCTTGCTAAGCAGCACTGGGGAAGCAGGAGAGCAAGGCGGTCCCCACCCATGCGACCCCACCAACTGCCGCTGGATACATGCTATACTGGACAATGGAATCAGAACGCTGCTGTTCTATGTTGTCTGATGGTGACGTTGCTAGGTTTTCCTTTAGGTAACTATCTAACAGACATTTCTTTAAAGGCGCAGGTGGTTAGATGGTGCTTGAAGGAGCATTGTTGGCTAGTGGCGACCAGGCTTTGATCTTGCTGGATATCAGGACCAGTCCAAGACATTTTGCTGTCCGAGGCAAAGGACGAGAGGACACCCTTTGATTCCATGTATTGGGCTGGTGGTTGAATCTGGCTGTCAAGGCATCCTTCACCACCACACCCAAGGGCAGTTATGGGGGCTCTGGACAGGGCACCCATAGCTCTGTCCTCCCAACAGTGGGGGGTGCCTAGGGGCTCAGGAAGAATAGCCAGAAATGTGCTATTGTTGCCCCCTACAAATTCCACGGGCCTGAGGCAGCTGCATCACTCTCCCAAATGGCAGTAAAGAAACCAACATCTTTAATACGACCAGCGAAGAAATCACAGTTCTCTGTTTTATGGCTGGCCCTGCATACATGCTGCTGAGGGGAAACTGATGCCACTATAAAGGGGGAAAGTACTGTCTGTGGCTGGTCTTGCCTGATCCCCTGTGCTCAAGCAGTGTATGTAAGAACAATCAATATTAAAATGTTACACGTTCTTTCACCTTCTCACAAACAAATTGAGCTGCAAAAAGTTGTGCCGATCTTCCTGTCACTTGGGGGTTATGGGAAGTTGTAAAACATTTATTTGTGAGTGCGTGTGCTGCATACAATGTCCTTGCATTCTACTTGCAAAATGGGCTTGGGGCACATCTGAATCCCTGGGCCTCTTTATGGAAGACACTTAACAGAATTGTTTAGAAGAGTTTGGTTCTGATCTGTAATGGAAAGGTAATTGTGTGTGTGTGTGTGTGTGTTAAAGATGCTCTTTCCTCATAACAGCAGGACAACTTCACATGTACAGTGGTACCTCAGATTAAGAACTTAATTCATTCTGGAGGTCTGTTCTTAACATGAAACTCTTCTTAACCTGAGGTACCACTTTAGCTAATGGGGCCTCCGCGTGATTTCTGTTATCCTGAAGCAAAGTTCTTAACCCGAGGTACTATTTCTGGGTTAGCAGAGTATGTAACCTGAAGCGTCTGTAACCCGAGGTACCACTGTAACGGAAAGCCATGGCCTTACCTGGTCCCCTTCCTGTGTCATATTGGGAGGCAAGAGACCAGTGTGCTAGCTTAACATTAAGGAAGAACCAGCGCTCATGATTTCCTCCCAACAGATCATGTGAAGGGTAAACCAGAGTTCCCAGGATTCTTTGGGGCGAAGTCACGTGCTTTAAATGTGTGGTGCATATACAGCCATGGTGTATGGCTTACTGTTCCATGCAAACCGGACCAATGAATGCCAGCTTGTGTTTGAAATTATAATCTATGTCCCACTTCATTCCTTAAATTTAGAAAGGCTTTGGTAGTAGTCAAATTGCAATTACTAGTGAAACAGCATAGTAAATAAATAATCAAAAATTATTCATCAGGGTTCACAGTCTTTAATTGTTAAGGGCTGACTATGTTTTCCCCAATTTCATAGTATTTTTTTGCACTTTTTAACAAAACTAGAGCAATAAAAGGTTAATAAGTTTTGCTTTGCTATTATTCCCCCCCCCCCCAGGTCTTCCCCAACCTGAGGTTACTTGGTTTAAGAACGAAGGCTTCCCAAGAACTCAAGTGTTCTCAGTTGCAAATGGGTCCTTAATCCTTAGGAATGTTTCACATGAAGATGCTGGAATGTACACTTGCACAGCCTCCAATGCTCTTGGACAAGCCATGGCCACAACTGTTCTCCGATTGGCTGGTAAGTACAAAATCAGGCCCAGTGGTACCAAGAAGTGCCATCAGCTGCCAGTGACTCTCTGCCTGAACCACACTTCTGCTTTCTCCTCTGTGCTTGTGCTGTCCGTGTTAGCAAAGTCACTTAAATAATGCAGATGAAACCCAGAGAGAAAAAGAAATCCGAATTACCTTTTACTGAGGAAAATGAAGAAGACAGGGCTGGGCTGGGTGGGTCTAGATGAGACACTGGCCTGATCCAGCAGAGCACCTCTTATGTTCTTATGCTACCTTCAAAGGGGCTACCTTTGAAGGTGACCCGGAAACTGCAGTTAATCCAGAATGCGGCAGCTAGACTGGTGACTGGGAGCGGCCACCGGGACCACATAACACCGGTCCTGAGAGATCTGCATTGGCTCCCAGTATGTTTCCGAGCACAATTCAAAGTGTTGGTACTGACCTTTAAAGCCCTAAACGGCCTCGGCCCAGTATCCCTCAAGGAGCGTCTCCACCCCCATCGTTCAGCCCGGACACTGAGGTCCAGCACTGAGGGCCTTCTGGCGGTTCCCTCATTGCGAGAAGTGAGGTTACAGGGAACCAGACAGAGGGCCTTCTCGGTAGTGGTGCCCGCCCTGTGGTATGCCCTCCCTTCAGATGTGAAGGAAATAAGCAGCTATCTTCTTTTTGGAATACATCTGAATACATCTGAAGGCAGCCCTGTTTAGGGAAGTTTTTAATATTTAATGCTGTATTGTTTTTAACACTTGATTGGAAGCCGCTCAGAGTGGCTGGGGAAACTCAGCCAGATGGGCGGGGTATAAATAATAATTTATTATAATTTTATTATTATTATTATTATTATTATTATTATTATTATTATTATGCACTCTACCCTGAAATCTCAACAGGCAGATCCAATTCACTGCACCATTCCTAAGAAAACACTTAGTGTGCTTTACGAAACCGTCCGCAACACTTATTCCTGAGATGCACTAGGAAGTAATACTTTCTCCCCACATCTCTTTCCTCTCAGAACGAAGATCTCAGAAGCCTAACAATGGATCATACGGCAACAGTAGGAGAAAGCGTGTCCTCATGGCATCTGGGATTGGTACCAACATTAGCGTGGTACCTGGGGAGCTGTTGCGGATAGGTATGACTCCCAAATATGTTTGTCGGTGTTGGAAGCCAGGTGTCAATTCGGGGCAACAGGGCCAGCTTGTCATGAGTCGACGCTTTGGAGCAGAGGGTTGGATGACAAGGAAGAATATGAGCATGTGGTCTAAAACAAAGTGATTGGTTGAGTGGGAAACTTAGCCTCCCAAAATGGTGCACATGAGAATAACTGGGAAATGTAACTTCATAGACTGTTTTTTAAAGAAATCCAAATATCATAGGAAAATGCCCTTGCTTTCTAGGTTGTCCTGTGCATCCCAGTAGAAAGAACACAATTCGCTGGTTCTTCAAAAATCAACCAATTGAAGAAATGAAAGGCTTTGATCACAGGAGCCTGGTTGGGGGACGTATCCTAGAGGTGAACGTTATCTCTGAGCAGTTTGGTGGACAATACAGATGTTGGACATCATCGAGTTCCAAGCCATTGTCTGTCTGGGTAAATGTCAAGAAGGAAGGTTTGTTGAAGATTCCATGGCCCAATTATTAAGTTTCATTATATTTCCTTCTTTAAGCATTGTTTATTGTTTGTACCAAATTACAGTGGTACCTCGGGTTAAGAACTTAATTCGTTCTGGAGGTCTGTTCTTAACTTGAAACTGGTCTTAACCTGAGGTACCACTTTGGCTAATGGGGCCTCCTTCTGCCACCGTACCACCGGAGCACGATTTCTGTTCTCATCCTGAAGCAAAGTTCTTAACCTGAGGTACTATTTCTGGGTTAGCGGAGTCTGTAACCTGAAGCGTCTGTAACCCGAGGTACCACTGTACAACATAAGGCAACAAGAATCTGCTGTAAGCATTTTGAGACTTCCCAAGTGTTATAGCTTAGGGTAGAGGTAGCTAATCTGATGCACTCCAGATGTTGGACTCCAAATCCCTCTAGCCCCAACCTCCATGACCAATGGTCAGGAATGATGGGAACTGTAGTCCAGCAACATCTGGAGATCACCAAAATGACTGTCCCTGGTTAGGGCAAAACAGAAGACTGGGCTGCCATTGAGACTGGCTTCGCTCTGTCTCCTTCTCTCCTAATTGCTTCATTACGACCAGCCTCTATGGCATGATCTTGTTAGGCTAGGAGTGTCTCCTTCCCCATCATTAAACTGGATTGTATATAAAGGCAAACCAGCCTTCTTTAACTTTGTGCTCTCCAGATGTTCCTGGACTACAACTCCAATCATGCCTGACCGTTGGCCATGCTGGCTAAGACTGATGGGATTTGTAGTCCAAAATGTCTGCACAACCAATAGTAACGTGTAGTACAGTCCTTGAATTCTTTTATGAGGTGACTGCGGCTGATACTATCTGAAAAACCCATTCTTCCCCAATCTTGGGCTTTGGCTGCCTTGAGAGAATGCATTGTGTCATGGAGATTCATTATTTGAGCACCTTACGTGTCTGAAATATTGCTACGGGGTGGTTTTTGCAGCACAGTGGGTGTTTGGAGAGAACCCCTATGCTGTATCTTCATGGCAGAATAAATATAATACAATATTTCAGTCACACTTGCACTCAGTAAATTGTAAGCATTTCTGCTTTGAAAAGGGTTCTTTTGTATTATTTTAAGAAAGCCAGAAGTAATAAGGAATCACTGAAAACCCAATAAGTTAAAGAATTCATTATGTGCTGCGGGAATGAGACTGTGGACACAGCTGGGAGCGATCAATTATTCTTGGATGTTATGGGACCAACTCCCCACCCCCCTCACCAAAAAAGGAAAAAGAAAAGGCAACCTTGCGACTTCTGTGCTTGCATAGAAATCTGTCAACATTGCATCGTACTTCATCTTCTAAATTATGTCTGAAAGGGGGCAGGGTGGGATCATTTTGAAATGTAACCCAGTTTTTTTTAAAGAGGCTTTTTGCTGGAGACTGTCACTCCCTAATGCACAGAATTAATAGGGGAGCAATGTTTTTGTTTAAGTAGACAGTTATTAAACTAATCCAGATTCTTTTTTATATATATATAAAAAGTAATGTAATGATGCTAGCTGGTTATGGTGATATGACGACGTGCTACATAAGGGTGTCAGAGAATTTCGACGAAATAAGAAATGGGAGCAGAAATTGCCCATGTTTGCTTTTTCGCCCCCCTTCTGGAATGGGAATCGCTTTTCTTCATTGCTTGCAGCCTGCAAATGATATATAATTGATTGTGCTCCCTCCATTTGCTTTGTGTTTCCTTTGCACTGAAATGAATGAAATAAAATAACATAATAGCAGTGGCAATTAATTATGTAAATTGCATAAGTTTAAGAAATCTTGCCACAGCAGACAGAGAGACAAATAACCAGTGATTTCCCCCCCCCCATTAAAAATGTTTAGGGGTACTCTCATTTTCCTACTCATATTGAAATACTGCCCCTCAATGAGGCCAAAGTTAGATACACAAAATGTTAAGGGGTATGCGTACCCCCAGAAAAAAAATGCACTGCAATTCGCGTAGCTTTCGGCAGAAGGCAAACTGCAGCAAGCGATGGATACAGAATGGAAAAGAACAGCTGTTTACATCCTTAGCTGTCCAGAACAGCAAAATGGTGCCAGGGCAACACCCCATGCACCCCCCCCCAACATGCTACAGGATCCCATTGCCACAAATGTTGCTCGTCTAGACCCACATTTTGGCTGTGTGGAACGATTGAGGGGCTCCACATTGTCGGACTTGGGTTCGACCGAGCGATTCCTCCGGTCGAGTCCTCCGACACGATTAACAACCTGAGCCTTTGATGAGACTCCAGGCACGTTCCCTTATTACGCAGAGTATCCAGCACGCAGGGAAGGACGAGAAGTTTATGAGCTACATTGCTAAAGAGTTTTATTTCTAACTACGCAGACAGAAAAGAAACACATGCTCTCTCTGTGAAAGCAGAGAGCAACTGAACAACAAAGGAACAGGAAACCAGTAACATCACATCTGTCTCCTCTCTTCCGTGAGACTTCCAATAGCCTGGAATCTCTGGAATGCAAAACAGAGTCTTGTGATTCTGCACAGTGGCACAAGCAGAAACTAACACACATGGCACCATTCAGAGGATTAGATTTGGCCCATAAACACTGAACAAAACAATCCAGAAGAAAACATTACTGAAGAAAGTCAGGTACACAGAGAATACGTTCGAAACACCATATTTCACGGGAAACTAAAATATTATCTTGAAGATTTCAAAATAAAACACGACAAAGGAGGTCAGCTACGGAATGCACATTTAGCGTAGCAAAGTTAACAAAATCATTTTTATCTTAAATGTTTCAAAAGAAAGCATTGCCAAAGGAAGTCACATACAAAATGCACATTTCAGACAGCATAATTAGCAAGAGAATAAAGTTACGGGCATATCTGCTGCCGTTGCTGCCAATCCTGCCAGTGGTGGCTCATGACGGGCAGTGGCTGTGGAAGCTCAGGGTCTGCACTATGAAACAGCCAAGATGGTCTCTGGCCTCTTCAGCAGCCTCTGCTTTTGTTGTTGTTTAGTCGTTTAGTCGTGTCCGACTCTTCGAGACCCCATGGACCAGAGAATGCCAGGCACTCCTGTCTTCTACAGCCTCCCGCAGTTTGGTCAGACTCATGTTTGTAGCTTCGAGAACACTGTCCAACCATCTCATCCTCTGTCGTCCCCTTCTTCTTGTGCCCTCAATCTTTCCCAACATCAGGGTCTTTTCCAAGGAGTCTTCTCTTCTCATGAGGTGGCCAAAGTATTGGAGCCCCAGCATCACGATCTGTCCTTCCAGTGAGCACTCAGGGCTGATTTCTTCAGAATGGATAGGTTTGATCTTCTTGCAGTCCATGGGACTCTCAAGAGTCTCCTCCAGCACCATAATTCCAAAGCATCAATTCTTCGGCGATCAGCCTTCTTGATGGTCCAGCTCTCACTTCCATACATCACTACTGGGAAAACCATGGCTTTAACTATACGGACCTTTGTTGGCAAGGTGATGTCTCTGCTTTTTAAGATACTGTCTAGGTTTGCCATCGCCTTTCTCCCAAGGAGCGGGCGTCTTTTAATTTCGTGACTGCTGTCACCATCTGCAGTGATCATGGAGCCCAAGAAAGTAAAATCTCTCACTGCCTCCATTTCTTCTCCTTCTATTTGCCAGGAGGTGATGGGCCCAGTGGCCATGATCTTCGTTTTTTGATGTTGAGCTTCAGACCATATTTTGCGCTCTCCTCTTTCACCCTCATTAAAAGGTTCTTTAATTCCTCCTCACTTTCTGCCATCAAGGTTGTGTCATCTGCATATCTGAGGTTGTTGATATTTCTTCCGGCGATCTTAATCTGCTTTTGTAGCTGGAGTCAATCAGAGCCCTGTCCTCCCAGGCCAGGTGGGGAAAGGCCTGCAAGGCAGGGAGCAGGTCTTCCAGGATCCACATCCAACATGGTCTCCTTACCTGGGCAAGGCAGGGCAGCAGTGAGTCGAACTGTTGCTCTTGCCTCGACTTTGCTGTTGCCCTGATTCATCCCTGTTCCGTCTACTGCAGTGGTGCCAGTATCAGGAAGACAGCTCTGACAGTGGCCGCCACACTGGATGGTACTAGGCAGGGCCAAACACATGCACATTCTTAAGGCTCCTGTGTGTTCCTCCCTACAGAATAACTAAACGCTTCAGGCGGTGGGGTGAGATTTTAACCATAAAAATAGCAGTTGTGAAGGACTGACCTGCCCTGTGTTAGAACCAAAGTCCTGATCCAGTCTCTGCTTTCTGCAGATCAGTCTTTTTTCAAAATGCAGGACGTCCTATTTATGGATCTAGTTTGGCCATTAGATCACACTAATGTTCTCTGAAGCTTCCTGTTCAGTGAAAGTTCCTGCCCACTTTTTAGGGCGTCTTCAGGGGCACTGCTTTAGTAGTAGGTCAAATGCCATCTTTGAATGGAAAGACTATGAGTTCAGTTCTTGGCATGTCTACCAAGGAGGACCTCATCTGGCAAGAGTAGACCTTGAAGGACTTGCATCTGAAAACAGCTGTTTATAGAGAAGGTGGATCTGGCCTTGGGAGACTGTTGTCCTGTGAAATATACTCTGAGTCAAGTGTGAATTTCATGCTCTTTATTCAGCTCATAGTAGCAATGAATGAAACTTTCCCCAAAACATCTAGGTATATACACTATTTACACAATGGGCCCCGTGTGATTGGCTAATTCTGGGCTGCTCCTATAGGCCAATTAGGTTGCCGATTCACCTCCTCCAGAAGCCTGATTGGCTGTTCCTGCAGGCCAGTCAGGTTGCTGAGTCACTTCATCCATGCGCCTGATTGGCTGCTCCTGCAGGCCAATCAGGTCACTGATACACTTCCACCTGAAGCTGGATTGGGTGGCTCCTGCGGACCAATCAGACTGCTGCGTTCTAGATCCTATTGTTCTAAGATTCAGCTCAGTACATAACACCCTGAATCAGTATAAGGCAGATCCTCTTATCCCAAAGCGTTGTAGGTTTTTTAAAAAATGATTGGTTGCTAGTTTATAGCAGAGTTAAAACTTGGAAGCTGAACCTATCCAGTCCCACCACCCATCCCTTCTCATTCTCACATCAGCAGCATCACTCAAAAGGGTAAATAAAACACACAGAGTTTCCAGTAGTAAAGTCTTTGCTTACAGTTTCTTCATATTTACAAGGATGGTTTCACATTCTAAGCCTACGTGGTGGAAGCTGATTTCATGGCTATTTCATAAGAGAGGGTACAAGGAGAGAGAGCTGGGCAGGAAACCACAAAGTGTGTTTTCCCTATCTATTAATTTCAACCCTGTCCTCTGCTGACTGGAGTCATGCAAGGTTTCTCATACCCAACAAAGCTGACATTATATTTGAGGTGCAACCTGTAACTTATACTCTTGCTTATCTATTGCTTTCTCTCCTGCTTTTAATAGAGTATAGATGGCAGCTTGGCGACTGGAATACTTGCTCTGCTACTTGTGGGAACTCGGGAACCCAGTTCCGAAAGCTGCTGTGTGTGGGTGCGAAGGAGCAAGAAGTGAACCTGACATTGTGTGACGAGAGTCAGAAGCCGACTGTGAATTACCAGTCCTGCAACACCCACGATTGTCCTGCCAGGTATACACTTCCTTTAAAAATAATAATGATGATGATTTTATTAAAGTTTTTTCATAATACAATGAATGACAGAAAATAATCTAAATAAAAACAAAAAAGGGAGAGAGAAAAACACTGAAGGAAAACCAAAAAAAAGAACAGAACAGAAAAAATGAGACATGAAAAGGACTTCCGATTTTCTGTCTGTCTAAAGGAATTTATTCAAAATATTCATTCTAGAATGACATCCAATTGATCTGCTTTCTGTTAGGCAATATTTTCCCAATCTTCCAAGTCAAATGTCTCAGATTAATTCATTTTCCTTTTTACGCAAAAGGGTGTGCCCTTCCCATTTCTTGTTTCTTCCAGTATTTTATCTACTTTTTATTAAAAAAAACATTTTTTCCAAATGTCATTTATTTGTCTTTCAACTTTTTTTTGTTCACTATCAAATTACAATGTTAGCGTAAGAGCATCATTTATTAGATAGATAGATAGATAGATAGATAGATAGATAGATAGATACTGCTTAATCAACATTTCCTTAAAATGTCTGCTGGAATAGAGTGGTCTTTGTCAAGCACCTGAAGGTCAACAGGGAGTTGCAACCTTCAGAAAAATGATGGATGAACCTTAATATTAATTCCAAATGGGGTTTTTTTGGGAGGGTGGCAAAATATTAGAGATGCCACCAGGAGAATATGGGGTGCATGTGTACTGCGTTAAGGGTAGGAAAGGGAACTTCACTGCATTGTTGACAAGGTCCAATTTGGGCTCTTAAAAAGATGGTTTTAATTACGGTGGACCATTAATGGAGAAGATCTGCTTTTGGAAAGTATGCACTGGCTAGTGCCAGTGTAGTCGGAAACCCACCCCTGCCTGCCAATGCCCAAAGCAATTTTTCAGGCGGTTTAAAAACATCTGTAGTGCTGTTTTTAAACAGAGTAGAGGACAAATGGATAAACAAATGTGCTGCTTACAACAATTTTAGAAGGAAAGGGTAGCCAGATAAACTGAAGCATGGGAGGAAAGGGGAAGACTGACAGCAGGACCCAGCATTCAGTCTGCAGATATATACATATGTCATGCAAATTGTGCAGCCAGGAGGAAATTGGACTAACATCGCAGGTGAAGTGGGACAAATCCCTGTCGGGTCGCCCCTCCGCCTGCTGAATGTTTCCAGCAGAGCCTCAGCCAAGTTGAATTTTAATATGCCAATCATATATTGTGTCTCAAAGCTGTGAGAAACTGTAACCCAGGCTCAGTTCAGATCAGTTCTGGGTGTTTTCTCACTACACAAAGGGAGGGCCAAACTACATGTGATATTAAGCATGTCTTTTGCAACCACATCAGGGTTTTATACAAAGCAATCACAGCAGGCCGGACTGCGGCACACAGAGAAGAGACGTTTTACCCTTTCCTCCCCTGCTGTGGTCTCAGTAACAGCCCCCTTACCTACAGCTAATATTAGCTCTGGCAAGAGAACGTTTGCCCTTGGTACCTTGCTAGGAAGGATGCAGGAGAAATTATGCTTGGTCCACATTTTCATGCAAACATGCCCACTTAACAATTCCCAAAACAATATATGAACCGCAGCACACAGCCACCTTTCAAAATTTGTGTTCTCTGCATTTTGCAAAGCAGTTCAACAACAGCTACAACAAATGCGTACAAAAAATGGATATGTTAGGGGAAAGCATGCATGAAAATGAATATGCAAATGAAAATAATATGCAAAAAAAAATCATAATGGGGGAAAAGTGTTTATTTCACAAAATTGCATACAAAAACGTGTGTTGGAAGAAATGCACAATGAAATGCTGGCAGTTTTTCATGAGAAGCAGAATTGAACATTGGTAAAATGAGAAATGAAAATTGACAGATATGCCCTCCCCTGTTTGCTACATTGGCAATCGTTCCCAGCTGGATGAAAAGGTCTCTGACACTGGTGTCCTTACTTGGTATTGTGTTAAATTTACCTGCTGTTAATTTCTGTGTTGCTTTTAACTGTGTTTAGCTGTTTTTATTGCACTTTTGTACATTAACTTGAGATGTGTAGGGAAGGCAATGAATTTATGATAATGATGATGGTGATAATGATAATAATATCCAATCAAAAGTCCATCTAATAGGGGCAGTATTTATGAGCATGGATATGCCATTTTCTTAACCACTGTGGCTAATAGCTGTTGAGAGAGCAGAATGCACTGCAGTGAGAAACCAGGAGCAAATTCAACCAGGTTTAAATGCAGCAATGGTGCATTAGGGCAATCAGAGTGATGCTGGCGGTGGCAGCATCCTGGTAGCAGCACTGCTGATTGCTGGGACGGGACTGGGCATGGCAACACAGCGAGGTCCAGGGAAATCTGGGTTGGTCGCGGTGGCCCTGCAAGTGTGTGCAAACCTGCCTGATGCTGCCACAATCTCATCACTTGGCCTCCCCACTCCACCCCAGCGAATGCAGTGCAGCTGCCTTCAGAAAACTGCAGCCGCTGCCTCTCCCTGCAACACTCCAGTGCTGTTTGAATGTGCTGGTCATTCAACAAATAGACATAAACACACACAAAGCCTTACTTGTACAGCATTGCATGTACAGCCATTTAAACCAGATTTCTGGCACTGTGGCATACAGTTGGGCCACAGGTCCTTGGTGTGCTAATGATCTGGCAGAAGAGCTCCACTGGATCAGATGGAAACCCAATCGAGTCCAGCATCTGGCTTGCATCACTTCCAGCCAGATGCCTCTGAGCATCCCACAGGCTGTAAAGGTAGTGCAGTACAGTGGTACCTCAGGTGAAGGACTTAATTCGTTCTGGAGGTCCATTCTTAACCTGAAACTGTTCTTAACCCGAAGTACCACTTTAGCTAATGGGGCCTCCTGCCGGCGCTGCGCCGCCGTCGTGCAATTTCTGTTCTCATCCTGAAGCAAAGTTCTTAACCCTAGGTACGATTTCTGGGCTAGCGGAGTTTGTAACCTGAAGCATCTGTAACCTGAAGCATCTGTAACCCTAGGTACCACTGTAGTCCTCTCCCCAGCAACTGGTATTCAGAGTCGTAGGCCACACTCTTGGCATACATTTAAAGCACTGTGGTGCCACTTTAAATGGCTCCCCCACCCCCCCCCCCAAAGAATCCTGGGAACTGTAGTTTATTAGGGTGCCAGGAGTTGTTAGGAGACACCCATTCCTCTCACAGTTACAGTTCTCAGAGCTCCCTGTGAAGAAGAATTGATTGTAAAACTTGCCTGGGAATTGTAGCTCTGTGGGGGGAAGAGGGGCCTTCTAGCAACACTCATCACCATTGACAAATGACAGCTCCCAGACTGGTTAAAATGGTAGGATAGTGCTTTAAATATGTTCTGTTGATGTGGCTTGTGAATCTGAGCCTTCCATATAGCCAATAGGTACTCATGGAATTGGGACGCAGGTGGCGCTGTGGGTTAAACCACCAGAGCCTAGGGCTTTGCCGATCAGAAGGTCGGCGGTTCGAATCCCCATGACGAGGCCTGAGCTCCTGTTGTCTTGGTCCCTGCTCCTGCCAACCTATGCAGTTCGAAAGTCACATCAAAGTGCAAGTAGATAATAGGTACTGCTCCAGGCGGGCAAGGTAATGGCGGTTCCCGATGCGCTGCCTGTGGTTCTCCAGAAGCGGCTTAGTCATGCTGGCCACGATGGACGCCGGAAGCTGTACGGCCGGCTCCCTCGGCCAATAAAGCCGAGATGAGCACCCGCAACCCCAGAGTCGGCCATGACTGGACCTAATGGTCAGGGGTCCCTTTACCTTTACCTATCATGGAATTTACCATATAGCTGCCCATGGAACATTAAGCCATCCTAACATCTGAAGTCCAAACAAGATAGCCCATTGTGGTCTCTTGCTCTTGCTTCTGTTATGATGTGACTGTTGTTACTTCTGGATTTTTGTCTCTGCTTTAACATTTTCTCTCTGCAGATGGACGACGAGTGCCTGGTCCGAGTGCTCGGCTTCATGTGGCAACGGGTTCCGCCACCGGCAGAGAATCTGCAAGCAAGTCAGAGCCAATGGTACTGCTGTAACGTTGCCTCTGTCTGCCTGCACACACAAAGAGCATCCTTTGGAAAGGAAACCTTGTGTGGGGCATTCGTGCACAGAATGGCTTATTCATCCATGGGATCAGGTAATTAATTACCTGTTGATTGACTCATTAATAGGTGGACTTCAGTCTACACCCACCACACAGCCTCCAGTGAGGTTTCCTACACAAGCCTCATTGAATACGACCCAGCAGAAACGCTTCATGTGGGAATGTTCAGGGATGCAGGAGAGGATATATTGTCTGATAATAGCCATTCCAACTTATGTTAACAAGTTCACAATTTAGCAGAGTAACATTCCCCTCTTTAAACTTGCAGCGGATGCGTTTGCTCAGGCTCGCTAAAGCCTCTATAATAACTGTTCTGGTATTTCCCCCTTATTCCCTCATAAAAGATAAGACACGACACAGTCTTCTATAAAAGTATAAAAAGGTTTACTCACATATCATTCTGTTCACAATAGGATCCCAGAAGGCAGACTTAGCTTAGAAAAGTAACATATACCTGGAAACTATCTCATAAGAAGACAGTCCCTTTGTCCTCTCTTGGCTGGAGCCAAGAGAGCATCTTTGGCTAAGCAGATGTTGCTTCTTCGATGCATGTAGTCAAAAAGAGAGAGAGATGGCTGCCCTTCCCTGTGCTTTTGTCGTTACCTGCACAGGTGAGGCCACACCCACCTCTAGTCACATGCAGAGGAAGTCTGTCCCAGCCCAGAAGGAAACAGGAAGTTTACCTGCTGGCTGGACAAATATTCCTCCCCATGTGTAAACATGTTCACTCTAGGAATGTTGTACTTGACTGCTCTTGTGTTTCACATCCCACACTTCACACACACTCATTTTATTGTATTTTAGCAGTTGTGTTTTGTTTTTGTTTTTTGAGGATTTCTTTAAAGGAAATTAAACAGGATGGACCGAAAAATAATAATATAATACACCAACAGGCACAATCCCAGTGCACTTCAGCAGAAAAATAAAAAAAAAAGGATCAAGGATTGGAGGGGGCGGGCAGAGATAAGGAGTCATCACATGGAAAAGACAAACAATGATACATTCTGTGTTTAGGTAGCGGCTTAGAACCCAGGCATTTGACCAACTCACACTAAGGTGAAAAAGTGTTTGGGATTTTATTTATTTATTTATTACATGGTTCTCCTTCCCATTTCACCTCACAACAACTCTGTGAGGTAGGTTAGGCTAAGAGACGGTGAGTGGCTCAAGGACACCCAGTGAGCTTCATGGCTGAGTGGGGATTCAAACCCTGGCCTCCCAGGTAGTCCAACACTCAAAGCCAGACTCAAAGCATGGTGAAATTCAGGAGGAAGGGAGACAGATACCTTAAACGCCATTACATCTCAAGATTCCTTCAAGAAACTTGCGGCGGTGTACAATCTTCACATCAGCCCTATGAGGTACATTAGGCTAGAAGATAGCAACTAACACAGGTATTTTTCCCAACTTCTATGAATTTTGAAGACCGATTTTTTTTAAAATAATAATAATGTGTTATTGTTTATTTCCTATACACTGCTTGATTATAAAGAAAAACATCAGAAGAGGTTTATAAGAAGAATAAAATGATGTTGGTAATTAAAGGCATCTTACAGTATATAAACAAAGAAACAAACAAACAAACACATTATTAGTATTAGTATTATATAAATTTGTATACCCCTAGATCTCATAGCAGTTCACAGCATAAAACCTCAATATAAAAAACAGAAAAGACAACCCCTTCCACAACACATTTTAAAAGGGCACAGGGTGTCAGTATATATAAACCAGCAATTAAAAACCTAAAGAATCTAAAAAACAATTCTGTTTTTTAAAGGCTGGATTAAAATGTCCAACCCAACATCAGTAGCCAAAGGCCTGACAAAAGAGAAATGTTTTAGCCTTGTGCCTAAAGATGAGTAATGATTGCACCAAGCAAGCCTTTCTGGGGAGAGCACTCTACAGTGGACGCTTGGGTTGCGAACGTGATCCGTGCAGGAGGCACGTTCGCAACATGCAGTGTTCGCAACACGCAGCGCCGCATCTGCGCACGCGTGGGTTGCGATTCGGCTCTTCTGCGCATGCGCAAAGCATGATTTAGTGCTTCTGCGCATGCGCTGAAACCTGGAAGTAACCCATTCCGGTACTTTCGGGTTCGTCATGGTCCGCAACCCGAAAACGCACAACCTGAAGCGTCTGTAACCCGAGGTATGACTGTACAAGCAGGGAGCCACCACTGGAAAAGGCCTGTTCACATGTTGCATTTGTAAAAGGCACGTGGAAAAGTTGAGCCAGGGCCTTTATTCTGGGTGTTCAGCAGCTGGAAGCCCTTGACACAAACCTGGGCCTTCTGAGTGGTGCTGTGTAGCTCCCTGATTCTCAGCCAGAGAGCCGAAAAAGACAGGTGGGGTTTTTGCACAGTATCTGTTGGCCACGGTGCTTTGCAGCTGGCCGTTTGGAGCGCGGGGAAGCGACGAGACGTGCCGCTGCAGAAAATGAGTGGCTGTCCGGGGGCCTTACTCAGCGACTCGGAGCGTTTGGCTCCATCCCGTGAGAACTCCCCTCTGAGCAGCAAAGTGCTTCGATGGCAGGCCGTGCCAAGATTATTATTATCTTTTGTTTCAGCTACTTTGATGAGATATTCTGCTGAAATATTTTTTCAGCGCTAATCATAACATAACACCACACCATGGAAACCCCAGCCAAATATTTGACTTCTAATATTGCTGTTGAATTAATTGTGACAGCAAGAGCCCAGCGGGGGGGGGGGGGGCGGGGAAGGGGGGCGGAGAAAAAGAGCAACCTTTCCCTGGGCTTCTCCTGGAACAGTAGCAAGAGGCTGTGCTGTGGGAGGGATAGAACTGTCAATCAATGGCAGAATGGACGATGCTCTGCATACAGAAGACCTCTGACGGAATCCCCTGGCTGCATCTCAGGTGTTTGGAAAAACCTTTTCTCCAACTGAGATCCTGGAGGGTCACTTCCAGCCAGAGTAGATGATATTAGGCTAGGTAGGAAGGGTGAGGCATCTGCTTCGCATGCAGAAGGGAAGAGGTTTGTACCCAGTGCCACAATGCCCCAACCCAAAGGTGTTACTGTTAGCAATGGAAGGCCAAGCCTCGCTGCTATTGTGACATTTCTCCCAGGTTCAGGTTAGGTCCCTCCCACCACGAGTGAATTGCAGCCATTCACTTCGGTTATTGGAAGCAAAGAGACCATCAAGGACACTCATATGGAATGGCCATAGCTCATTAGTACCAGGATGTGGGTGGCGCTGTGGTCTAAACCACTGAGCCTCTCGGGCTTGCTGATCAGAAGGTCATTGGTTTGAATCCCCGCAACGGAGTGAGCTCCTGTTGCTCTGTCCCAGCTCCTGCCAACCTAACAGTTCGAAAGCATACCAGTGCAAGTAGATAAATAGGTACCGCTGCGGCGGGAAGGTAAATGGCATTTCTATGCGCTCTGGCTTCTGTCACAGTGTTCCGTTGTGTCAGAAGCAGTTTAGTCATGTTGGCCACATGACCTGGAAAGCTGTCTGTGGACAAATGCCGGCTCCCTCGGCCTGAAAGCGAGACGAGCGCCACACCCCGTATGTCACCTTTGACTGCACTTAACCATCCAGCGGTCCTTTACCTTTAGCTCATTAGGCTTCACATGCAAAAGGTCCCAAGGAAAGACTCCTGACTGGCATCCTGGAGCCAGAGTAGGCCAATCAGCACTAAGCTGCATGGCCCAGTGGCCTGATGTGCTTTCTTATCTATGTCCTACGTCAGGCATAAGCAAACTCGGCCCTCCAGATGTTTTGGGACTACAACTCCCACCGTCCCTAGTTAACATGACCTGTGGTCAGGGATGATGGGAATTGTAGTCTCAAAACATATGGAGGGCCGAGTTTGCCTATGCCTGTCCTACGTCAAGTCCAGGGGGGGAGGGGGGTGGCCTTGGCTGTCTGCTTTTCTCCTCCTCAGTGTTGCCCTTGTAGAATTCAGCTGGGGAAGAGGACAACAACAACAACAATTTATTTATACCCCACCCATCTGGCTAGGTTTCCCCAGCCACTCTGGGTGCCTTCCAACAAAATATTAAAATACAGTAGTCTGTCAAACATTAAAAGCTTCCCTAAACAGGGCTGCCTTCAGATGTCTTCTAAAATTCAGGTAGTTGTTTATTTCCTTGACATCTGATGGGAGGGAGTTCCACAGGGTGGGCACCACTACCGAGAAGGCCCTCTGCCTGGTTCCCTGTAACTTGGCTTCTCGCAGTGAGGGAACCGCCAGAAGGCCCTTGGCACTGGACCTCAGTGTCCAGGCAGTTTGATGGGGGTGGAGATGCTCCTTCAGGTATACTGGACCGAGGCTGTTTGGGGATGGGGATAAAACTACAACTAGTCAGCTTCACCTGTCATTGACTCTTAGCCTCTGGCTGCCCCTGCTGCTGGGCTCCCTGTCTTCCACCTTACCAGCCCCAATGGGTACCTTCCACAGGTTTAACTATTTGCATCTTGTACTGGAAGGTGCAGATCTCCGTGTCTCTGACTGTTGTTGTTTATCCCCTTCCTTTTCAGTGCACAGGCCAATGCACAGGTCGCGGAGTAGGCTTGCAGCATCGCCTTGTTCAGTGTCAGCATTGGAACGGATCCGTGGTATCGAACTCACTGTGCGATGAAAAGAGCAGGTACAGTTGCCATCCGATAGGAATAGCCCTTTACCACTTTTAACACTTCCAGCAGATGTTGCGTCACACATTATTTTTAACAGATGCTGCTGGGAAGTTCTGGGTCAGTGGCTGCCTCATCTTGCCACCCTTGCACAGCCCCTTTGATGTTTAGTTAGGTTATGGCTGCTTGCCATAACTACCACTCCTAAATCAGAATTGGAGCCTTTTCTTCTTCTGTTAGCAGCAGGCTGTCCTCCAAGAGCTGGAATAATGACAGAAGCTGGAAATTTCATTTCATTCCACTTTCAATTTGTATACCACCTTTCTATATTACTATGCAGCAACAAAATATACAACAAAGAACGCACCCCTTACAATAATCTGATGCAATACAAAAAGTTGTAATAAAGCCATAATAAAACATAACTTTATAATGGAACACCTTATATCAATAAAGTAATATTCAATAATCTATTAGGATATATTAGTACAGTCAGGGATGCAGGTGGCGCTGTGGGTTAAACCACAAAGCCTAGGACTTGCCGATCAGAAGGTTGGCGGTTCGAATCCCCGCGACAGGGTGAGCTCCCGTTTCTCGGTCCCAGCTCCTGCCAACCTAGCAGTTTGAAAGCACGTCAAAGTGCAATTAGATAAATAGGCACCGCTCTGGCGGGAAGGTAAACGGTGTTTCCGTGCGCTGCTCTGGTTCACCAGAAGTGGCTTAGTCATGCTGGCCACATGACCCAGAAGTTGTATGCCGGCTCCCTCAGCCAATAAAGCGAGATGAGCGCCGCAACCCCAGAGTCGGTCACGACTGGACCTAATGGTCAGGGGTCCCTTTACCTTTACCTTGGTTCTCAAACTTAATCCATTCTGGGAGTCCATTCGACTATTGAAACCATTTGAAAACAAAGGTGCTGCTTCAAGTTGGCTGCAGGAGCTTCCTGCACTCAGTCGGAATCCACGTCGGATGTTCAGCTTCCGAAAAAAAACGTTCACAAACCGGAACACTTACTTCTGGATTTGCGGTGTTCAGGAGCCAATTTGTCCAACAACTAAGCCCTTCGCGACCCAGAAGGACTGTGGACGTTCTCCTGTGATTTGGCTGCCAATGTTATTGCAGAGGTAAGCAGACTTCCAGAGAAATTGTAAAAGCGGAGACAGAACATCTGACACACTTAAATGTAAATTTAGAAATTTAAGAGCGTTCCTGTTTACCGAGGCATTTGATGGCAGGAGGCACTGTTCCCTGGCAGCTCTGTGATCACTTGTTTTCGTTTTTAAAAGAAAGTAAGTTTTATTGTTGTTGTGTTTGCTGGTCTGAGCTTGTTTGGGAGGAATAAACCGTCACCACCAGGCCAGTTTATTTTTGGATCTAGTGAGGAGCAGTGCTTGAGAAACCTCATGATACATTCAGGGGTAAGAAGGAGGACAAAGGATTGCCTGCTTGGCCACCAGTGGCTGAACGATTGCAGTTCTCCATCTTAGTCATCACAGGGAGATAAGCTGTGGGCGTGGGCTTGCATGTTCTCTGCCCCCAGGGCAAATCGTGGCAAGCCAGGTAAAGTTAAAGCTACCCCTGACCATTAGGTCCAGTCGCGGACGACTCTGGGGTTGCGGCGCTCATCTCGCTCTATAGGCCAAGGGAGCTGGCGTACAGCTTCCGGGTCATGTGGCCAGCATGACTAAGCCACTTCTGGCAAACCAGAGCAGCGCACGGAAACGCCGTTTACCTTCCCGCCAGAGCGGTACCTATTTATCTACTTGTACTTTGGCATGCTTTCAAACTGCTAGGTTGGCAGAAGCTGGGACCGAGCAACGGGAGCTCAAACCGTTGCGGAGATTTGAACTGCCAACCTTCTGATCAGCAAGTCCTAAACCACAGAGCCACCCATGTCCCTATGGCAAGCCAGGTAGGGCAAGTCAAAAGCCAGGAATTGTGCCCCTCTTGCCACACCAGCTGAGTAGATGCTACTGCTCTCCTATGAAAATTCGCTTGACCCCAATACCCTCTGTATTTAACATGGAGAAAGATGGGGATTGGGGTAAATGTCAAAGTTTGCCCAACGACACAGTAGGATTTATTGTTTGTAGTGGGGTTGTGGCAGAAATAAAACAAAACTCCAGGCTATGGATTATCTATTTGCACATTTTTACCCTACCCTTCAACCAAAAAGGCTTTTGAGAGAATAATAATAATAATAATAATAATAATAATAATAATAATAATAATTAATAATAATAATTTATTTATACCCTGCCCATCTGGCTGGGTTTCCCCAGCCACTCTGGGCGGCTTCCAAAAGAATATTAAAATACTGTGATACATCAAACATTAAAAGCTTCCCTAAACAGGGCTGCCTTCAGATGTCTTCTAAAAGTCTGGTAGAAGTTCCTGCCTGGAGTTTTTAGGAGACCCCGTTTGCCTCAAAGAGATGCATTTCCCAGACCAGTTTAACAAGCAATCCCTCTTCCCAGGGAACTGTGGGATTTGTAGTTCCGTGAGGGGAACAGGCCGCTGCCGCCACAGTCTGCCACCTGAGTCACTTTTGCTCAGCATGGCCCATGATAGGACTGCCCCAACTGAAAGGGGAATTCTACCATTGACAGCTCAGAACCAGAGTGGTGGTTGTGAGACTGAATTTCACACATTGACCTGGAACTAAACAGAGGATTATTTTGCCTGTAGGCTTCTAGTACGTTTGTAGTGACGTTCCGTCCTAAATAACATCGACCATCGGATTCAGTCTCAAACAACATTTTATTGGGGGCTTTTCTCCCACCTACCCCACCTTTCTGCAGGCCATTGATGAGAAGAAACTGCTCTACAGACAAATGTGACGTGTATTGGAGGGCAGGCCCTTGGCGACCGTGCACAGTAGATTGTGGAAGCGGATTCCAATCACGGCAAGTCAGCTGCATACACAGGAGAAATAAGAGGCCCGTAGGAGATCCATCGTGCGCCTGGAGGAAGAGACCAGTGACCTGGAAACACTGCAATGTCACTTCTTGTGACAGTATGTAAACGTTTATTTCCATTTTTGAACTCTCCGGTCGCTTGTGGCAATTGCATGTAGACAGTGGCGCTGAACTCTTAGTTCCGTAATGAACGTGATAAGCCGTCAACCAAACCCCACCCTCCCATACAATACAATGGTGCGACATTGGCGTGCCCCAGTTCAGCAAAGGGTTTGATTCTGAAGAACTAAAATGCAAAACAACTCCCAAGATAGGCTCAAGTTAGTTCAACGGACTGGATCCCTGGCCGTTGAATGCAACTCGTTCAGAGCAGCCTGCAGATTATCCTGCCCATAGTGTTGTTGTGCAAGACCTGAGAGGGAAGGAGAAAGGATGTGAACGTTATCTACGTCTCCCTTTCGCATTTGCGCGAGATGAGATGCTGTAACTGCCCTTTTTCATTCTTGTTGCATTTCAATGTATTTTTCAGAAGGCGAATGCAAGGATACAACTCACTACTGTACATTTGTAAAGCAGCTAAAATTATGCATGATAGACATCTACAAACAAAGGTGTTGTCAGTCATGTGAAGAGCAATACCCTTCTGTGGGAAGTTCGTGATGTCGCAGTGAAGATATCGCGTGAAGAGAATGTTGTTTCAATCCAGCCTGCTCTGGACAATATAGACAATCAACCAAGAACATGTGATGGGGATGGGGAAATGGATGAATAGAACATACTATGGATAGTCCAAGCAGGCTTTTCCATTTTCTCTCCTCGACTCCTACCCACCGGGCAATAGCTCTGTTGCAACTTAAGCTTTAATGGTGTTGGAAACATCAGTTTTAATGGGGTTGCAAGTGATTCATTGGCTTTCAAGTAATTCTCCCTGCCTCATAAAGACAATTCCAGTTTAGCGATTGTTGACAACTATTCCTAAAATACTGAAATGCAGCAACAACTCATATCTGCGTGTTGCCTTTCTGGTTTGATCCACATCAGTACAATTCTCAAAGTATATGGATTCAGCCATCTGTAGCTGTAATATTTCCCCCCAGAGGCTGCATTTCCTTAGCATTTGAGAAAAGGACATTGTCGCAGGTCTTGTTTTATTGAGATTAGCTGTCGAATGGATCCCCATTTTGCTTTCCTTCCTTCCTTTAAGCGCCTGCAGTAAAAGGCAATGTACCTGACATGATGGTTTTCAGACCTGCTATGGGATTGTTTTCTAATCGACGAGGCGTCATTTGGGGCAGGGGGGCGGGTTCCCCAAACGTCTGCTTCAGCCTTGCAGGAATGTGATCAAAGCCAGGGCATGATTCATTGAATGTGAAAACTGGATGCAAGAGGGTTTCTACATGGGAGCTTGGAATTTGCGTTCGGGGTCTGAGAAGTTTCCCCTTCTGCTTGGTCAGATGAGAAATGAGAGTGGTTCTCTGGGCCAAGGGTGCCTGTCAGGCTGGATTGCCCTTGAAGAAACCTTCTATATACTTTTCCAGTCATTAGAAAGAAAGAAAGAGGGGGGGGGGACCAAACAAAACAGAAAGAGCTGTTCTTCATTGAGACAGACATATGTTAAGTATCAGTTTCAATTTGTTTCCATTCATCCTGACTATCATACATTTAGTGATTGCATGCTAGTAAATTCGCAAAACTACAACCTCAAGTAGCTCCTTTCTGCCGTGCAAATTATGTGTGCAAAGCCTGCCAAGAAGCCAGTTTTTGATTCTCGAAAAAATACAAACAATATGGAAATATAAATAAATGCAGCCACATTCGAAATAATGTATACCATTCTGGCCGGCCCGTCTCAAAAAGGAAAAATTGGAGCTGGGAAAAGTACCACGGGGTGGGGAAGCACAAATGATCAAGAGGTCAAAATATTTTTCTTATGAAGGCTTAAAGGCCCTTAATTTAGAAAAGGGTGGGGGACAACAGCTAAGGCTGCAATCCTAACCCCACTTAACTGGGAGTAAGCCCCATTCAACTCCATAGGAATGACTTCTGAGTAGACAGTATATTTATTGAGCAGCACTGTAAGAGGGACATGGCAGAAGAGAGCTAGGTAACTTGGTGGCATCCTGATGGTGCATTGCAACTCCCATCATTGGACATACTGGTTGCTGCTGATGGGAACTGGAGTCCAGCAACTGGGGGGGGGCGGTACCACATTGCCTTCCCACCCCCCAAATGTTTAAAAAATTATGCGAAGTGGATAAACAGAAGGTTCACATGTCTTTCTCCCATAATATTAAAATTCAGTGTGTCCCACTGAAATTGATTGACATTATTTTAGGACAGGAAAGAAGCACTGCATCACACAACGCAGAATTCACCCATGGAATTTGCGGTCCGCTGGCTTATGTGAGGTGATAAGGCAAATTCACGGCACAAAGTGATTCGACAAAGTCATGGAGGAGGAGATGCATAATGGACCAGGAAAGGGGATGAGGGGAGTGCTTCCCCAGGACTGACATCACCTGCCAGTACAGCTGATGGAGCTTCCTTGCTCTGGCAAATGAATAATGTGGCTTTCAGGATTGTGATAGATTGTGATAGATAGAGGGGGGTGAAAATCAAAGGCTAGGTACTTCTTTCCTTTCCTTTGACAAGGTTCCTTCTTCACCCTAGCAGTTTAAATGGTGAAACTTTTTTTGCTTTTTTTTTGTATTTCTGATGGTAAGTTAAAGGTTGCCTTTTGACTGACTATAGATCTCTTGGTAAGCGCCAGCGTCTTTTGCAATTGAAACCTGTGCACCCAATATTAAGTGTCGCTGAATTCAGTGTAGCTTGCTTCTTTGCAGTCCTGCCACCAGGCTGATCGGGGATGTAAACCTAGGTCTCCCCCATCAAATTACAACACGCTAACCTCTACCCCCCCCCCACCCTTTGCTTGCTCACTGTTCTATGATTGTCAGCTGACCCAAATCAATTTGGTATTATACTGCTCTTTGGGAGTTGCATATAATGAAGGCCGCTGCCTGCATTTTGAGACTCTCCTTTGAGAGGTTAGGTAAGGAGGCTGTTGTGATGAGCTCCCTGTGGCGATCACACAGGGTCCCCGGACGTTTGACGGTCTATTGATCCCTGTGCCACCACTGTGACTGCTTCCTCGCTGCCACCAACCCATTTCACTCAGGTACACATGGAGTCCAGACAGTTGTTAAAATTAAACCAAATAAACAAGTTTATTTTATAAGCTTTAACAAGTTTTTGGGGGACGCAGATGGCGCTGTGGGTAAAAGCCTCAGCGCCTAGGGCTTGCCGATCAAAAGGTCGGCGGTTCGAATCCCCGCGGCGGGGTGCGCTCCCGCTGCATGGTCCCAGCGCCTGCCAACCTAGCAGTTCGAAAGCACCCCCGGGTGCAAGTAGATAAATAGGGACCGCTTACTAGCGGGAAGGTAAACAGCATTTCCATGTGCTGCCCTGGCTCGCCAGATGCAGCGTTGTCACGCTGGCCACGTGACCCGGAAGTGTCTGCGGACAGCGCTGGCCCCCGGCCTCTTGAGTGAGATGGGCGCACAACCCTAGAGTCTGTCAAGACTGGCCCGTACGGGCAGGGGTACCTTTACCTTTACCTTTTAACAAGTTTATGATTTCAGATAATTTTTCTTGTCAGTTTCTATATCTTAATTTCTTTACCAGCCTCTACCTTCCGAATAACTTGTGATTATCCCACCTGTCTATCTGACTCCTCTTAACAGATTCTCTCACATCAAACTATCCCAACCCACAGACTTATCCTCCCTCTCTCTTCTCTAACACACGACTGACTCCTTAATAACTCTAACTCTAACTCCTCCCCTTGGGTTCCCACTTGCCAATCACTTCACACTCATTTAACCCTTTCCTTATGACCCAGCATGATGTCACCTAGGAGGGCAAACGCCACACTCCCCTCACTTCAAAAATTTGCCATTGCACCACTGGTGCATGGAAAGCACTGTAGAGCCTTCAGGCTCAGAGGCAGTGTACAGTACATGACACAGAGAACTGAACAGCACGGTGCCCTTGTGCCCTGCTTGAAAGTAGCCAGGAGGTATTTGACTGGTCACTAAGCAGAATGCAAGATAGAGGATAGCCTCCATCAGGGCTCTTTTGATACCGTTAAGCCTCTAGTAGAAAGAGAAAATGTTATTGCTGTTTTCAGTTTTAACTGACTTGCTTTTTATTCGCAACTCCTGTGCTCTTGCGTAAATGCCCAAAGGCAAATTTGGTTGAACTGGGCCCTCTGCTGATGGGCCAGAAAAGAAACAGCAGAGATTTTGTTTCTGTTCCGAGGGTGTTAGAGGAAAAATGAATGCACCATGGTTTGGGTTTTGCCTCACTGCTAATTAAACTAATGCTGCTGTACAGAAAACCTTTCATGTGGGTAACCGTGGTTTTTGCTGACAGCAAGAAAAGCGATATATACCCACTCACTGTAATGATATGGAGGCTAAACACCTTGGGCCAATTAGCAGTCAGTAGAATCAGGAGGTAAAGTTTTTTCAGGTGGGAGAATTGCATATTTGAATGTTCAAAATGCTGGGGAGGAGGACGGGGAAAACCCCTGCAGATAGTAGCCTGGTTTCTGCAACATGGTAGGCCAAACTTTTTTTAGCAGAACTTTTTTTACCGGAACTGCACAAACATGGTGGCTCTGAGAGAGAAGCTTGTAAGAAATGGGTGAGCCTCTCAGGTTTCAGTTTCTCTTATTTTTCCAAGTTCAGTTTTCCACATTTCTGCATTTGTTTGCATTTTTTTTTAAACCACCCTCATGAAAATTCATCAGTGTTTTAGTGCAGATTTCTCCCAACTGACACTTTTTCTGTTAATTTCAGTAATGTGTGCGTTTTTATGGATTCTTTACCCCAGTGTGCTGTGTGGTTTTTTTTGTACACATTATTAAGCTGGAGAACTGCGCTGCAAAATTCAGAGAAGTGCAAGTTTTTAAGGATGGCTGTGTTAGTTTTACCACTTGATTCTACCCATATAAACTGTCCCTTTTGACACACTGGTGTCAGCAGGAGTGCAGAGAGCCTGCACTTAACTTTAAAATGATTAACTTTGGCTGCCCAAGCTTTTTAAATCAGCCATGGGTCTTGTTTGTTTATACCATTTTTAAATTAAAACATGTAATATACTTTTGTATATATTTATTACCTGATCTAAAAGTGCAATATTTTTTGTACAGTGTGTAATAAAGATTTTGGAACTTTTTTCTTGTTTACTGAAATTTACCAAATGTTTTTACGTTGTATTTAATATTTGTAAAGAATGAACTGCTAGCATCCCTGTTTTGCTAGTACTTTGGTTATAAATGCATGTCCTAGGGAAGCATAGCTGTGGGTGATGGTTGCAGCAGATGGATACGGTCCTCTGTAGCCGATTCCACTGTTGCTACATTAACCAAAGATGTCTAATATTATTTGTTCACTGGCTTAACTTTGGTATTCACAAAAATAAACACTCCTTTTGGCTATCCCAGTTGCTTTTACTATATGGAAATGGTTTGTCAGTGGCATTTTTCAGGTTCTTTATGAAGTGCATTGTTAAAACTATGGAATGTGCTCCCAACTTGGATGCATAGCTGTCAACTTACAGATTTGAAAATAAGGGACCAGTAGCCTCAAAAATAAGGGATCAGCAGCCAAAATAAGGAATTTTAGTCAGCCAGCTGAAATACGAAGTTAAAAGGGACCAGATAATTTGGGAGAGCAGCGCCGGTTTTTAGCCCTTCGTTTCCAGAGGTTGCTGCTCAAGACACCAGCTGATGAAACACTGCAATTAAATAACTACAAGCAGCAACCACTTTTCGCGCAAAACGAAGTCCAGGCTATGAAGATGCTGCTGCACTTCTGTATCTTTTCTCTCGTGCTCCATCTGCAGCTCTCAGTTCCATCAGGCAGGGCAGGAGGAGGGGGGGGGAATAGCGCCCGAAGTAAACCCGCAGATCAGACTATCTATGCTAGTCTACCACTACAAATCTATGGGATAAGCACTTGCGGTCCTTCCTCCGCTTTCCCCCTCTATGGTTAGCCCTTGGAACACCTGCCTCCTCCTCCTCCTCTCTCTGAACTGCTTTCTCTATGGTTGCCCTCGCTCTCCTCTCAAGGCTCCTCATTCCCGGTGGGGAGGGGCTCCCGGGGACCAAGGCTGGTGAGAGGAGGCCGGAGGGGGGCGGGGCGGGCAGCCAAGCAACACAGTTGGAGCCTCTCTCCTCCCTGGCCAGCAGGGAGGGAAGGAGAGGAGCTGCTTCCTGTGAAACCTGGGAAATTTAAGGGACATCATCAATAAGGGACAGCAGCGGGACACGGCGCTGGGATAAGGGAGTTTCCCGCCAAATAAGGGACGGTTGACAGCTATGCTTGGATGGCTTCAGAAGATTAGACAAATCAATGGAGGACAATGGTGACTGGTCATGATGGCTAAAGTCAGCTTCCACAGGCAGAAGCAGTATTGGCTCCGAATATCAGTTGCTAGAAATCACAGGGGGGAGAGAGCTCTGGCGCTTAGGTCCCGCTTGCAGGCTTCCTCTGGGCACCTGGTTGGCCACTGTGAGAACAGGGTGGTGGGACGAAATGGGCCATTGGGCTGATCTAGCAGGCTCTTCTTATGTCCTTGACAGGGTGGGCAGAGCAGGCAAGTACCCAAACCAGACATTGATTTCAAAGCAGCATCAAATCCCATCCAGGGCAACATCATAGGAAGCCCCCTCAAAAGGCTCCTTGCCAGCCAGTTCAGCTGCATAAATCCACATTTCTGATCTGTTTCCTGCCTCTATTCTAACCGCTGAACTGGTTCTCTCATGCTCACGCCCAGGGAGCTGAATGTGTTGAGCTGGCACCCTTGGCAAGAATTTGCATTTGAAGGAAATTGAGGAAACATAGAAGGACTATCAGAGTCTCTAGATCTGCAACACTCACTGATGTCGGGTGGAAAACTTAGCAAAATGGAATCTTTTCCAGATATTTTTGTAGCGCTTAATTTTTCTGCAGGAATTTTTGTGTTTTGTATGTTAGTAATAATTCATGAATAGCAACAGCAAATAAACTTTAAGCAAGCTTGTCAGGTTCAAAGTTTTGTCATGCTAAATTAAATCACTCTGAAGGTCATCAGATTCCCCCCCCCCCCGATGCCAATTATCCCAGTTTTCAAATTCAAAATTTTCTGGAAAAGCCACACCGCTGGATTCAGCCCACTTACATGGGTAAATATCCACTTGATGTTATGGTTATCAAGTAAATAACGAACTTGTGTGAACTAGCCATATGAAAAGAGGACCTGGAAAGAACAGGACTGAAAAGAGGAAAATGTTCTGGCTCTTTCATCTCCATCAGAGAATGAGATGACAATAGTTAAGAGCATGTCTCCAGACTAGAGGCTCGTGTCCATTTCAGATGGCAAAAGGAAAAAGTATATATACAGTATCATAAGATCTGAAAACCTCCACTCCTAGCCCAGCGACAGTCTTAAACATACTTCAAGAAACAAAATAGAAAGCTTTTGTTTTTAATTTGATTTCCCCCCAATTCTAGAGCATTCAATTTACATAGGATGAAGAAGAAAAGAATCCGCTCCAGGTCTCAGTTTGATCTGTGAGAATACTAAGAATACCATATGGGAGTGATACAAAACAAACATTCCCAGCGGTTCGGAGTTTTTCCTCTCCTTTTTGGGATGATTTATTGTGTTCTTTTGACACCATTCAGTTCTTGATCTCGATCTCTGAATTGGTAGTTTGGGGATACAGTACGTGGGATTACATGACACTTCAATCATAAAATGGTTTCCCTAAAATAATGAGTACAAGGCAACACACAGGTAAGAAACAATCAGTGAGAATGAAAACGATGCAAAGCATTCACTGGAGCAATAGCTCAAAGTATTGGCACCAACCTTACAACTTGAATTACAGGCATATCAAAACTGAAATCATACTCTGAAATGTAAGCTTATCATTATAAATTTAGTAATATACATATGCCCAGGCAGACATGTATATTAAGGTGAAATAGATTCAAATAATCTGGAAAGAGCTTCCCAACCCAGTCCCAAATCCAATTAAAGTTACTCATTGTTACGACTATTATCTTAAGCACTTTTACTTGGAAATAAGCCCCACTGAGCATAGTGGGACTTGTTA